CATACTTGCTAATGTTCTCTTTCATTTTCAGTACAATATTAATAATTGCTGAAACAGATGCACAAAGTAGGTGTACAAACACGCTTGTCCTTCAACAACAATTTAGCAGGCGCCAACGTAAGTTTCATATCTCTTGTTAACTCCAGACTTTGAATTGTCCATACTGTAATAACACTTTAAGCATTAGTGCTCATTTAAACAATTTTCTTAGTATAAATTTTATTTTATATTCAAGTCGCTGAACAGGAACGCTAACGCAATACAGAGATTCAATGTTGAATTACGTGATGAAAGAGAAGATCAAACTACTACTCGAGCTCCACAGACCACTTCTAACCCATTGCTCCAGCTTTTGCAACTCTATTTTAGAAATTTATCTCAAAGGCCAATACCTAGTGCGGGCTTCCCATCTCTGCCTCAGTATCCATCCTACAGTGGATACGGAGCCTATGGTGGTTATCGGCCCTATTCCTATTACTATTATTGTTATGAATAATTGTTTTACTTTCTCCAAATATGCCTTTGCATGAGTGTGCAGACTTTAAATTTCCAAAATTCATGCAAAGCTTTGTTTGGCTTTATGTCTTATAGGAAGCTATTGAATAAATTGTGAATCCAATCAATGCTAAAAGTAGATCAGAAATCTATGCGTCACAAATTATTCTCATCGAAGTCATCCGAGACTCTGTCAAGTTTGTAATCTTGAAATGTTATATTAAATAAAATGAAAATTCAGAAAGGAACGAATTTTAATCTTCTCAGCAACACTTATTTCATGAATTTTTATCACAGGAACATCACGAGAAGAATGGCTAATCATGACTTTTTTTCTCCTAATTCCATCCGTAATTACTCAGACCAAAATTAGCAAGCAGTTTCGTTAGTCATTATAACTTGGCGATTAGAACTTTTAATGTTAGACCAATAGCACTCTGCCATTTCAAAATTCTGATCACCATCAAAAGTCATGATTAAAAGAGAAAGTTCATATGACACAAAAGAGAAGGAACAGGTTTACCATAATTGTGACTTTGTTGCAGTTTCTTTTTTTGAAAAAAATAAGTTAGGTTTTAAATGAATCGTTTCCTTCCATTTCTTTATTTCATCATTCGCATCAAATATGTACTATCATAAAGGAGAGCGGAGACATAAAATATGCTGAACAATTGCAACATTTGCTGCAATGACTTCGTCACAACGATTATTTCATATGTTAACGGAGAAATTAAAGGCCAGGGACATCGTCGTATTGGTGTATGTTCGGTTGTTAAATAACGAGATTAAATTATGAGATTAATTATGATCGAAACAGCTGTATTTCTAATCAGCAAAAAAGGGAAAGTATTTTTACAAAAACGAAAAATGAATGTCGACAATCACTAATAAATTTGCATATTTGTAGTGCATACATTAAGTTAATAAATAAAATGCATATACAAATTTAAAAATCAAATAAGTGATAACAAACCTTTATAAGAAATCTGTTTTTCATCATAGCGAGGCGTTTAAAATCAATGATAGAAA